AGCATTAGTGTCATAGAAAGAAAATGTGAATATAGAACCATTTGTTATCCTCTTATATCTCAGTTTCATTCAGAAAAGTAATTGCAAATAATTGTTCGCTGAAGAACAACAAGGAGGCAACTAAAATAAACTTACCCACAAATTCCGGTGTACCTATCATATCTTTAACAACGGTTCCCGGCAATATCCTTCTTGAAAGACCAAAATCGATGAGCTTAATTTTCGACTCGCCTCTCCTCCTGAGCATTACGTTCTCTGGCTACAATAAAATTTAATTCTTTAAACTAGAAAGAAGAAAGCTCGCTTGAACAACAGTAGTCTTTAGACAGTCTTTAGACAGGGTGGAATTGGATTAGTTGGCCAGGATCGGATGATGCGTTCAGTATAATTAAAAATATGAAAAATATCTAATAATAATAAAATTCCGCAAATCTTAAAAGAAAAAAGTATAATTCTCGAAAAAAATTTTTTGAAAAAAAGAGGAAGGAGTGGTAGAAAAGTGAAACAAATTTGCCTTAATATCCAGATGAACGATATGATTATCGTGCAGATGTTTGATAGCAAGTAAAATCTGTTCAATGAAAGCTGCTGCTTCAGTTTCACCAAGGCACTCTTTAGCTGAGACATAGTCGAACAATTCACCTCCCGACACTCTTAAAATTACCCAAAAAGTTTAATTGAATCTATTTATAATCAATTAATTTCGATTTTTGTTTATTCACGGATTCACCGCCTCAACAAACACTTTTCTTTTACCTCTCCCCTTCTCCTCTTCCCAAAAAATCCTACTCCCGTTGATAATACCATTCAGTTCCCCATATCATCTAATCATCTATAAACTTTTTTATATTACAGAAAGATAAACAGAAATAGTTTGACAGTATAATGTGCAATGCAATTCTCAAATTATCAATAGTGATATCATGAATTGTTATGATAAGCGGTATGGTTCCTTTTGCCAGCTCACTGATAGCCGGCATAAAATGTCAGATATCAGATATTCATTAAAAGATTTCTGCCACCTCACCAACTGGAGAATCAGATTCACAATCAAAACATTCAAAGAAGGGAGGAACTGCGGACTAGATGAAAGGGACCGCTGCTGTAGTCGCATTGATGCACTGATCACTCCACTTGCTTCTGTTGACAGTATCTTAGCTCCAGAGGAAGCAAGGAGAACTTAGCTTCTTGGACTCCAAACTTCACGTACGCTGCCCGCACCTTCAGTAAAGAGAAAGTCTCGGTTCATAGCAAATATGAAGTTAGTCAAGTTAGCACCACGAAGTAATAAACAAATAATGGTTTGGTTAATTTGACGTTGAAATGTCACTAGCCCAGTTTGATAAGTGATACCAGTAAGATTATACCTAAGTGAAAAACTTACAGTTCCAAGACCAGAATGACGTCAGAAGAAGTTTCGTACACTTCAAACAGTTTAATGGTATATTCATATCCACCGACAGCTCGCAACACATCAATTTCTCGTTCGATATTACAACGTGTAACGCCACGACGAGAGGTAGCGTAGCGTCGTTTTTTGATAAATTTTGCTGCGAACTGCTCACCAGACGATCGATTAATCACTCGTCGAACAACCGCAAATTGTCCGCTAAAAATCACGTCATAAAAACGGATATAAGCATTAATGTGGACTAACCAAGTGGTCTTTAATGACCTAAAAAGAAAATTTTCATGATATCAAACCGCTTTTAGTAATTGTTTTAATGCCGTCTTTGTTGATATACATTGTTCCGGAAGGAAAACTAAGTTTCTATGAGCAAAGCTTCATGTTTTGATTTTGGAATACTCTTCCGAGGAGTTAGTGCACAGATTGAAAGTATAATGGAATGAATAATAATGGACAAAAAGATGTTAATCACTTATAACAGGAACGGAATCACATTTGCGTGAAAGACGCAGAAGCAGACACTTACTTCCCGAGTTCTTCCGCAATTTCATAACGTTGTTCGAATGGTTCTTCATTGAAGCGCAAGACTGAAGCGTCGAAGCCAGAGCTCGAGCTGCTACTACTGACTTGGCGGTGATGAGCATCTCTCATAGTTCATCTAATCTACCTTATCGCAATTTTCATAACACTCACTTCGTCCACTTATTCTCCTCAATCGACGACAGTACTGCGCAGTGCAATACTGCCAGCTGAACAAATATCTACCTTTGAAATTATATGCTTCCTACTGAATATAGACGTGAGGTACGTCTGTTGTTCACCTTGTGTCCAAGTTATGTCACCAGTAACTGCGTTATTTTTTCGGGAAAAATACCGAGAGAGATATGGTCGATTCAGTATGCGATTCAACGGGAAGGTTTATCGATTACAGGACATTTTTATCAGTGAAATTACTGTTTTCAAGTAGAGTTAAGGAAGATGATGAGTTGAGTAGAAGGAAAGAAAGTATAAAATCAACCAATCGCTGATATTATCTCTTCCATTAGAAGCTGAAAATTTGCATATTTAGAAATAAATAACCGCGACACGAAACGCTATACAACAAAAGTGGTCGCATGCTTGATAAAAGGAACAATTAATACAGACTTTGCTTAAATAAGACATTTTCGAGACTTTGCTTTGCGGTTTCATCTTCCCGCTTTATCCACATATTGCCATAATAATCAGAAATAGTAATTGTATTAAGCTATCAGCCTACCGTGTCACATTCCTCTTTAACACAAGAAATGGTTGATATATTTTTGATCGGAGCTAAATGATATACCATGTAAGCAGCAATGTGATGCATAAAGTTCAAAATTAAAGTTCCCTTTAACTAAGAATTATAAATTATTCAAATTGATAAGGATTCATATTATTGGGCAATGATATGAAGAGAATTACCACGAATCTACAAATTATGACAATTAACATTTAGTTTTATTAATTGTGAATTTGATTGGAAGGATTTAATTTGATTGAATTTCATTCGGGATTTTCAAGAATTCCAGAAATTTGAAAAGTTTGTATTTCAAGAGTAGCACAAAATGAATGAGTACGGCTACCTGTGAAGAAAAGCAGGAATGATACTGACGACACAGTAGTAAGCGTAACAATCAAAGTTTTAATTTAGACTTCATGTGCAGGTGCACAGGAATAAACCGACAATCAGTTCTTAATTTGGTTTGATAAAAAAGACAGACGCCGTCAAATTTCGTTTAATCTATTTCTATAGAGACAAAATTGAGAATTGAAATAAGTTTGATATGATATTTAAATACAATGATTTAAACACATATTAAACACACACACACACACACACCGCATCTCATTTACATGCATGCACAGGAATAAATCCGCATCTCGTACAGAAGTGAATGCATCAATCAAACCGGAATAAATAAGGCACCGTGACAGAAGTGAACTGCGGAGTCAATGAATTGTCACGCAGATAACGCATGCGGTATTGATGATGGTTCGGAAATTTATAAAAAGTCTAAACGTATTGTATGCATCCGTGTATCATGGTTGAGAGGAGACAAGACAGAAGAGTCTCAGTCTCGGGTTCAGTCTCGAGCAATCAATTGACAAGCAGGTAAGTTGCGAAAGAAGCCATGAAGTGTGACACTGCAATTACCACCACAATGTTTAGTGAACAGTCGTACAGCGTATCAGAAAACGTGTATGTGATAGTTATTCTAAAACCTTTCATGTGTTGGTCACTGTATACATCTTTTTCGTATACGTATTAAACGTGATACGTAATACGTGTAACTAATGGCAAACTATCTTCGTCTTGCAACGTGGATGGAAACAAACTGAGTGTAAGCAACAATTAAAGAGGGAAACAATGGGATTAAATGTCAGAGATGTGTCTTCCCACGGAGTAAAGCAGTAATAGTGAAGCACTGACGGATCTCTTTCCTAACATTGTTAGCTAAATTAAATGTTTCAGATGAAACAGTGAAGTGTCATTTCAATAAAAGTAAGCCTCAAAGAATATTTTCAGAAAGTTCAAAACTTCAAGCACTGAAATTGGAAAAAAACAAGTTAAAATTTGTAGAAAGGTTCGCTGGTCAACAACTTTAAATAAACTCACAAATTTTCAAAGCAAAACATTTTTCCTGTTCACGAGAACTTCATACGAGTAAGAAATAACAGAAATAAAAATAGCACATCAAAATTTCAAGAAGATTAAACTGATTACGATTTAAATAAACTTGAAAAGTTTCAAAGCAAAACATTCAAGAAGATGAGTCAAGCGATTCAGGTTTAAATTGTGCAAACAAATGCATCATTACTAACACGTAAGTTAGATAACGCAAAATATTCATCCAAAGTGAAAAGAGTTGCTAGTGCTATAAGATTACGTAGAATGAGTCACTACTGATTCAGGTATGTAAACGTCACACGATGCATAGAAACACGTCACAATTGTAATACGCCAAAATATGGCTCATTCTTGAATAAGAAAAAATCAATGGAATTACACAGAAGAGGGACTATTTAGCTGGCAGACTGAAAGGACAGGAAAAGAGGTGTGCATCTCAGGGAGGAGAGATGAAATTTTGGAAACAATCAATGGAATTACACAGCAAGAAACACGTCACACTCTCGAAGGTAAGTACTGTTTGAGTGTGTGTTGAAAGTACACAAGTGGAACCTTTGTTTGCACCTTCAACAGTTTCAAAAATTGAAAAATTTTTCCAGAATTAACCTTTACCTATTCATTCACCAAATTAATGGAAACTTATCCAATTATATACCATTTCTAACGGTCAATTTAAGAATTAAAATCCACAATTTAACTTTCACCCTTAACTTATCAACATTTCATTTTTTAAAATTTATGACACAACATTCTTCCATTTACATTGATAAATTTTGATAACACTATCACTTTTTACTTTTAATTCAATGCCATAAACTTTTGCCATAAATCTATCCACTTTCCGTATTTCCCACTTTCAATAGTCGACTGGAGCATTCCCGCCACTCATATATTGAGCAGTACATTTGAAACTGCCACTAACGACTGTGTTGGTAGCGTAAGTTAACATCTCGGGATCAACATTGCAGTGACACGACAATAAGAGGTAACGATCATTACGGTCCATAATGTCATCTCTCTCTCAGTTTGAAGGTTGGACGTAACACGGATTTCCTCTTTCTTTTCCTTTGAAACAGTAAATGGAAAGGTAAAAAGCTTCGAATATGTTGAATTCATTGTCAAATCATTCGATGCATTCTCGATTCGCGATGCAACCAGAGACAGATCAAAAGACAGCGTCACGCAACATTCTTCGTGCAAGTCATCAATGACAATCATTAGTGTTGTCATCTATATTGCAGTAGGTTTATCATAAAAAAGCTTTTGAGATGAAATGGTCGCTATTATAACTTCAAAGGAGCAAATCGAGGAATACCACCAACCGAATGACTCACTGATGACTGCCGGTCGGTCACTCATGGCAAAGCGGCTTTTTAACTATACTTAAGCAAGAAGAGCAAAACATGCACTTTACACGATGAAAATTTCACACTGATTAAGCTCGAAGAAGTGAAAAGAACTTTCAGACGTTACGACTTATTTCTGGAACATACGACGAGTCTTGCACTAACTACCTCTCCAACGTGTCACACGACTTATTTCTGGAACATACGACGAGTCTTGCACTAACTACCTCTCCAACGTGTCACACGACTTATTTCTGGAACATACGACGAGTCTTGCACTAACTACCTCTCCAACGTGTCACACGACTTATTTCTGGAACATACGACGAGTCTTGCACTAACTACCTCTCCAACGTGTCACACGACTTATTTCTGGAACATACGACGAGTCTTGCTTGCATTAACTACCTCTCCAATGGTGTACACACGACTTATTTCCAAACAATGAGTTGACACGCAGGAAAGGATGCTTACTCATCAAGCGTAAAGCAACACGCGTATTATCATTTCAACTGTCGCTTTCTGAGAATAATATTAGCAGAAGAAAGGCTGTCTAACTTGAGGGACTGTCCACTCTAACTTGCATGACACGTTGAATTTGCTGGAAGAGAGATGGCATGCAACTGCAGTTTGTTTTACTCTGGTACGTCTCCTGCTTTAATTACCTAATTCATTTGTCGTAAATTTGTCAGTTTTAGATCCCGGTTCAAAGACAGAGTGATAGATAGGACTACGAAATCCTAGAACCAATCCGATCGCTGCAAGAAGCATCAGTCCAAAAGTCCGGTTGAAATATGAAGTGAGTGAGATAAGTGACAGGTAAGGGCCACAACTGCCCAAGGGCTAGATCAGTAAGTTGACATTTAACTCAGTGATAGGAACTGAAATAACTCAGCAAACAAACAAGTAAACGGATGAATAAGCAGCTGCGTAAATAATCAAATAAGGTTGAAATGCAGCAACACAACCCTACCTTTATACTTCCTGACCTTCTCTGCTCCGTACTGATGAAGAGAGGAGGAATGCGGGAAGGAACAAATATCGATTAAAATATTTTCACGAAATGAAATGACGTTCCTGTGTAACAGTTAGGAAGAAGAAAGGAAGACCGAAATGCTAGTGGCAGTTAAGTACGCCAATTATAAAGTAGTACTTTGGATGGATGATGGAAGTGTTGTCGGAGTAGCAGCATCAATCAATTTAATCCAATCAAAAGATCTGATCGAGTTTGATCGATTCAGTGGGTTTCATTGGCACAACACACTACAACCCAGCACATTCGTCATCAAACATTTCGATATTATGCTTTTCCGCTCAACCCGCTGTCAGCAAAATGCTGATATAATTAATACTCATCATATTCCTTTTTGCTCACACAAATGAAGGACGGTTACCTTCCCTCGATCAAACAGTCATTTGTCCTTGCTGTGTGACCCTGATGACCTTATTGTGAGTGCAGAAGGATGGGCACACCAATACAAACACACTCTCTTTGACCAGTTAATCATTATGTTCTAATACTATTGGAGCAGTGTCATCGAAGTATCATTTTCCCATTTCCACTCTCCGCCCAAAAAAGAAATCGAAAATATCGAACATTTGTATGTGAAGCATTTTTGAGTACAGATATCAGCAAGAGTTGATGCCACCTGTGAATGCTACAGATAAAGGATTGCCCGGTCAGACTACCAGTTCCAGCCTTGAAGCCATTCGCTCCAAGAGCTTCCTGGCCGACATTTTTGAGACAATGTCTAACCTGCGTCGTCTACCCCAGTACCGGACAAGAGGATAATCGGATGGGTTAGCGATAAACTGTTGGGAAGAGGATCGTGTAGGTTAAACAATTGAAACCGACAAAAAGTTCGAAATCTGTGCTCTAATTTCGACTTAATAGTATGTTAATAATTGTGAGCTGAGAAACTATCTCTGTGCTCATTTTATTTTAAATATTAAAATACGCAGTTCTAGGTTGATTCTTTGTTCATCAAATTATCACAATGAAATAAACTTTGCATCACTAATCATTTAAATGACAAGTTTATGTTTTCTTGCAATGTGAACATGAAATCTTCAAAGAAAGAAATGTAAATATATACTGTCTCTTTTAAAAGCATACATTATTGAACTATTCCAGAAAAAGAGAAGCAAAAGATATACTGAAATGAGCTTTAGCCAAACTGAGGATTGGACAAAAGACAAAAGATGGTGACAAATAGTCAAGGACTAAAAAATTTCTTATAAAGTCGCATATAGCTTCTCTCTTTATATTGCGAGTGGAAGTTGAGTTCGCACTACTATCACCGTGGTCAGATTAGAGATTTAAGATGATGACAAGATGATTTTCTAATAACAGTTTTTGGCAAAAATTCGTCTTACCGAAATGAATAAAACTTTCAACATTTATCATGTTTTTCCCTTCAATCATTCAGTGTTCAAAAGATTGGATTTTCCAATTTCAAATTTAGTTTTGAAACATTAGCACTTCTGAGAGCATTTCTTAAAATCTCCACCAGTCACTTTCTTGCTATTGTGGAGGAAAGGGAAGTAGGCAAATACAGGAAATGTTTCGTTTAACAAAACACTGAAGAATGGGCGAAAACGATGATGATGGTGATAATAATGATAATGATGATGATGATGGTGTTAATTATGATGATGATGAATAAATGTGCGAGGAGAAACAGGTAGCAGAAAAGATACCGTCCAAATGATTAAAATACCTTTTGAATTCTCCACAGCCCTTCCTCACCCATCAGGTTAGCAAAATTAATAAAACTTTCAATTAATAAAGGTTTTAATCAATTTCCGAATTAAAATTCAATTTAATTTCAAATTTAATTCTTGTCTCTTCTGCGTATAAGAGAGCATTTGTACAAATTTTGTGATTGAGAATTTTCTTCCGACCAACCCGAAAACGGCCTTATTTTCCTGACAGAATCAGAACCAGTTTTCGCTGCTGATTACTGCCATTATCATCAATAGCACCAGTGCTTTGAAAAATCACCAATGTCACCTCACTGTCGCCAGCATCACAACGTAGAGGAAAAGGCTCATAAAAAGAGGTGTGGTCATGATATGGTTTAAATATTAAAATATCATTTGTAATAAGTTTTGCAAAAATTCATCATAGCAAAATTAATAAAACTTTCAAAAGATTGAGGTTTAATTTTTTAAGAATTAAAATTATATTTAATTTGACATCTAACAATTTGAATTTTTTAAAATTCTTTAAAATTTGTGATAGCATTCTTCGATTTAATATGAAAAATTGGTTCCAAATTATCATTTTTTAATTCTAATTAAATGCCAAAACTGCTAAATGTAGCAATATTTTGAATTGAATTCATTATGTTATATACCTTGAAGCATTTCGGGAAAAATACTTATGTGGTCATTTTCTGGTTTAAATATTAAAATGCTTTGAAATTAAGTTTCACTGCAAGCATTCAAAGCAAAATAATAAAACTTTCAATTAAAATGAGTTTTAATTCAATTTAAGAATTAAAATTAAATTTAATTTCATATTTAAATTGATGAATTTTTAAAAATCTTTAACATTTGAGAAGTTTTCTTCCATTTAATATGAAAATTGGTTCTAAAATGACATTTTTTATTTTAATTAAATAAAACTGCTATAATAGCAATAATTGAAGTTAATTCATTATGTTATATGCACTTGCACCAGGGCTGGTCACAATATGTGGTCATTTATGTTTAAATATTAAAATACGTTTTGTAATTAAGTTTTGCGCAAAAATTTTCATTAGCCAAATTAATAGACTTTCAACAATGTTGTTTTAATTCTTTAAGAATTAAAATTCAATTGAATTTCAAATTTAAATTTTGAATTTTTTAAATTTTAAAATTAGTGAAGTTTTCATCCATTTGGAGTGAAAATTGGTTCTAAATTAACATTTGAGATTTTAATTAAATGCAAAACTGCGAAAAATAGCAATATTTTGAAGTTATTCATTAATAGTTATATACATAGAAGTGCGGGAAAATATGGTGTTGTCATTTGAGAGAAATATCAAAAATGATTTTACAAAAGCTTTTCCGCAAAATTCATTAGCAAAATTAATAAAACTTTCAATCAAGAAAGGTTTTCTTCAGTTTAAGAATTGAAATTAAATTTAAATTTCAAATTTAAATTTTGAATTTTTTCAAATTGAGAATTTGGATAGGAAATTTCTTCCATTAATAAGAAAATGGCCTAAATTCATTTTTTACTTTAATTAATGCCAAACTGCTAAAATAGCAAGATTTTGAAGTTAATTCATTTGTTAATGGCATTGCACCAGTGGGTCATTATGATTTCACATTGTTTAAGCTATTAAAATAGGCTTTGTAATGAAATTTTGCGAAAATAGCAGCCAAATTAATAAAACTGCAATTTATAATGGTTTTAATTCAGATTAAAGAATTAAAATTAAATTTTTTCAAATTTAAATTTTCAATTTTTAAAAATTGTAAAATTTGTGATAGTTTTCTTTTCATTTAATATGAAAATTGTTCTAAATTATCATTTTTATTTTAATGAAATGCCAAAAAGTGCTAAAAATAGCAATATTTTGAAGTAAATTCTTTGCTCCATACATTGCAACAGTGAGGGAGGATTGGTTGGTCATTTTATAGTTTAAATATTAAAAGAGGCCTTTTCATTAAGAATGCGCAAGAATTCAACAGCAGAATTAATAAAACAATTCAATTAAGAATGGTTTTAATTCTGCTTAATGAATTAAAATTAAATTTAATTTCAAATCTTAAATTTTCAATTTTTTAAAAATTGTAAAATTTGTGAAAGTTTGCTTCCATTGTAATAAGAAAATTGGTTCTAAATTATCATTTTTTATTTTCATTAAATGCCAAAAGCTAAGAAGAGCA